TCTACAACCTGTCGTAGCTTTGTCTACTATTGAAGCAGAATATATGGCTGTGACCGAGGCAATCAAAGAAGCCTTGTGGTTGAAGAGTTTATTTAGCGAGTTAAGTCTATATCAAGGTGTTACTGATATTCACTGTGATAGTCAAAGTGCCATACACTTGACTAAAGATCAGATGTATCACGAGAGAACGAAGCATATTGATGTGAAGTATCACTTCATTCGGGATATCATTGATGAGGGAAAAGTCCTTATTCAGAAAATCAATACTAAGGACAATCCAGCCGATATGTTTACGAAGCCTCTTCCAAATTACAAGTTCAAGCAGTGCTTGGACTTGGTTGGTGTTCGTTATTTGTGATTTAGACCCATTGGGTCTTATGTGGAGAAGGTGGAGCGATTTTACTATTGACGATGGTGGGACTCAAAATTATGCCAAGGTGGAGATTTGTTGAGCCGCAATTCTTCAGCCGCAATCCTTGACTGTGGCAGAATTTCCTCATCCCACATCGCCTGAAGCAGAAGGAAAGCCTCCCAAATACAACTATAAATAGGGGGCTCATATGAAGGTTTCAATCGCACCACTCAAGAGAGTTATATGGGCTATTAGCTTCTTGAGTCATCTAGCCCATTCAGTCAAATATTTTAGGCTCTCTTGTTTTGAGTTTAGGAATATTTTCTAAACTATTTTGTAAGTGCCTATTGGCCTAGGAACCACTTTCCTATGGCTTTTGTATTTCTTCTTCATAATAGAAATATTGTTCCTCCCTCGCCCGTGGACGTAGGTCAATTTGACCGAACCACGTAAATCTTCTGTGTCTTTTATTTGCTTTGTTATCCGTCTTTATATGGTCGGTTTTACCGCCTAATTATTATATGGCCGGTATCTACCGCCTATCTATTATATGGTCGGTTATACCGCCTACTTTGTTCTAACTTGAGTTTGTCTATTACCTGGCCCGGTCCTAACAAAACTTTCTGTGGACAGTTGAGGAAAAGATTCAGGTGTCTCAACATGAACAGCAGTTGTTTCGAAGCACAGCAGTTGCCCTTTATTTCTCTGTCAATAGTGCTTGCACCAACGGTGAGAATCCATGGCAAGTCGTTGGACAGAGGGAACAGATAAGGACCATTATTTCCTGCTGAGTAACTCAGGAAGATGCCTTTTTCCATTTGCACTATATGCACCAAGAGCAATGTTGTCTTCATGAAATAGTACCCAACTTCCACCAAGGGAGATGGAGAGAATATCATCATCGTCAATAACAACATCCATTGCAGCCCATATATTGCTTTCGGAACAATCATCTGTACCGCATAGTTTGTAGATTGCCAAGTGAGCCAGAGGTGCAACACCGACAGCGGTGCCATTAGCATTTCCAAACACGTTGGCGCCCTTGACAAATTTTCCTGCAGCTGTGCCTGCTGTATGAGTACCATGGCCACTCTCATCAGCTGGAGATCCATTCCCATCGCTGAAGAATCTTGCTCCAATCAATTTGTTATTGCATACTGGGGTGCTGAATTCGCACTTTCCCTTCCATTTAGCAGGTGGTGGAGGCATTCCTTCATCACTAAATGAAGGGTGGTCCGGCTTAATTCCTGTGTCCAGGACTCCAATGATGACGCCCTTTCCATAAATGGACTCTCTCCAAAATCCCGAATTTTGATGCAATCCAAGCAAATTAAGAATGCGTGTTGTATGCAAAGACAGCATCCTTTGGGGCCGAGCAGAAAGAAAACCAGACCTCTTCTCCATTTCTTTGACATCTTCACCGGATAATTTGGCAGAAAATCCTTTGAAAACATTGTGGTACCTACACACCATTCGTGGTGCTTCATTGGTACTTGCGATTGTTGTTGGCAGAAAGGAATTGTACCAGCTATATAAATCTTCATTTGGGCTTGAAAAACTTTCTGTGGACAGCTGAGTAAAAGATTCAGGTGTCTCAACATGAACAATGTAAGTCTCTAAATTGGCAGAGATTGCCAGAAAATGTAGTCATCGGACCACCTAGCTCAACTTGGTCTCAAATCAAGCTCATCATTTGCAAGATAAGGACTTAAGTCAACCACATTGAAGGTAGCGTGTACACCGTACTCACCTGGTAGGTCCAACTTGTAAGCATTATCATTGATGTGCTCCACCACTTGGAAAGGTCCATCACCTTTAGGCAAGAGTTTATTGCATCGTTGTACTGGGAATCTTTCTTTGCGCATCTGAATCCATACCCAATCACTTGGCTTAAAAATCATCTTGCGACGACCCTTGTTAGCATTGTGAATAAATCGAAATTCCTTTTCTTAATATTATCTCTTACCTTTTGGTGCAAAGCATGCACTTGTTCAGCTCGTTTCAAACCATCCATATTAACTCTCTCAAACATAGGTAAAGGAGATAAGTCTAGAGGTGTGAAAGGATTAAAATCATAAACAACTTCAAATGATAAGTATTGTGTGGTGCTATGGACTGTGCAACTTTAAGCAAATTCAACATGTGGCAAACAATCTTCCCATGATTTAAGATTCCTTTGAATGATAGCATGCAACAAAGTAGAGAGTGTCCTATTAACCACTTTAATTTGACCATCAGTTTGAGGGTGACTAGACGTAGAAAACAAAAGTTTAGTTCCTAACTTACTCGATAAATATTTCCAAAAATAACTAAGGAACTTGACATCTCTATCACTAATAATGGTACGTGGCATTCCATGCAATTTAACAATTTTCCTAAAGAACAAATCAACTACATGTTTAGTATCGTCAGTTTTATGACATGAAATGAAATGTGCCATCTTAATGAAATGGTCAATAACCACATAAACAGAATCATGTCCATACCTAGTCCTAGGTAACCCAAGTACAAAGTCCATAGAAAGATCAACCCATGGAATACTAGGAATAGGTAATGGAAAGGGGTGGAAGGGTTTAAAAAAAAGCATTAAAAAATTTAAAAACTTTGTTCAACATTGAAACCTTACGCCTAATCTTCGATTTTTAAATATATTTCCATAATATTGAGTTTGGTATTCTTCGTTCAAAATAGAAGCTTGCCGAAATAAATTTCTCACACGAGGGCTAGCATCCCTCCCCTATTTACAGGGTTTTACTTTGAAAAAAAAAAAGAATATGGTTTTGAATGAAATCATAAAATGAGGGAGGAATATCTCCTAGATTAGATCAAGATTGAAAAGAATGCATAAATAATAAACAACTTGTATATAATCATGATTTGGCTTTATAGTCATTGTACTTTTAACCAACATATAACTTATGCGAGCCATAATGGATTATATATATTAGTTGAGCCGAGGAGGCCTAGGCGCAGTATTTATTTAAAGTTGATATTTCAAGAATTAGAGGATTTGAGTTTATTGTCCTTCACCTTTTCAACTTCTTAAAATCCCGCACCTTTACTTCTAAAGAAAATTTTAAAAAATATGTTGGTTAAAATAGTACTAGTATGTTTTCATTTAATATTGAACTATGAAATATGAATTGAATGTATATACTTGTGGTAAATAGCTTGCTTGTAGACAAATTTCTGCTTTCTAATAAAAACTATGCTAACCCATGCCCATCGCTCACTTACATATATCTGCATTAGCGTTTTATAATTTAGTATTCATGCCATTATAGAGATACAACTATTAGAAAATCAATATTATAAATTTGAAGGCCTTGAATTGTGTCAAATACCAAGTAAACATTTATGCATGCCTATTACACATTTAAGAAATATATAAGGAAATTAAAACAGAATTAGGGTAAAAAAATATAGAGTTTGGGGTTTAAAGATAAAATAGGAAGAATTTAAGGGTTGAAGGTGAATTTGATTTCCTTGCTAAAGATCATGATGTGCAGTCTGCATTATCAAAATGGTTCACTGAAGGTTCAAAGTCGGACGAATTCCCAAGCCTTGGGTGCAACACTACAATTACCGGTGGAAAGTGAGAGTTGGAAATTTGTGGGTGCATAATGAAATTAGTCTTTAATTTTCTTCCCAAGTGTGGACTTGTTTGTGATAACCATAGATGGTTTTATTTCTTCACATATTTTTTTGAGGGGAAAGCCCCTAATCTTCAATCTTTTTAATAATAGGTTTCCAACCAACATTTCTTTGACTTGATATTACCCACATAGCTTAATTTTGTTATTAGATGTACTTGTTATGTCCAGATCGTAGCATGGTCGCACACCTCTCTCCGGTGGCTTTGCAATGTACATTTTTATAAATAAAAAAGTATTTCTGTAGAATTTTTTTTTTTTTTTTGGTTTTGTTTTTGACATGAGACCTATATGACATAGAAAAAGTAGTTAAGAGAATAAAAATGTGGTTGAAAAATATGGAGGGGGGAATGTAGCGGAGAAGAGGCTAATCCGGCAACAAGCATTTATCACATCAACAAACTCTCCGAGCCAAAATCTACTACACTCATCATAAATGCACAATCTACAACCATTCTAGGCCCCTCATGACTTTTTGAATGGCTTTCCATAAGACCCACCACTTACTAAAAGCAAAAACCAACGTGACTAGAAGAAAGAAACCGGGAAGGTAGCAGATTATTAGTCTTATCACTTGTGCCGTTCACCAAGCGAATAAAAATGGAGGGCGCAAGTGAGATAAATGTAAATGAAGAAATCGTTATGGAGATCCTACTGAGGTTGCCCGTCAAATCATTGATCAAATTCAACTGTGTTTGTAGAGGTTGGCGTGATTTGATCAATAGTCGTCACTTCATCAATATGCATCTCTGCCTTGCGCAAAGCACGGAGTACATAATCGTCAAGCGTTTAAGAGACGAAGATAACAAAAATGTGTTGTCATTCCATTCTCCAGCTGATGAATCTCTTATAGCGGCAGCCCCTGAATTGGAGCTGCCTGAACTTGATGAAGCTAATTGGCCCCTGCAGCTAATTGGCCCCTGCAGCTAATTGGCCCCTGCAATGGGATAGTTTGCCTCAGGGATTTTCATGAAGGAATACATTTGTGTAATCCAATGACGCGAAAATTTCGAACACTTCCTCAGAGTTCCTTTGGCAGCCCAGGAGGATTCCTCCGACAGACACATGTTGTGGGGTTGGGGTTTGACAGCACTATTGACGACTACAAGGTCGTCAGAATTTTTGAATCCTCCCTTTATGATTTTCGAGCTGAGATATACAACTTGAGTACTGATTCTTGGAGACAAGTGGATGCCATTCTGCCACCAGTTATACTTCGCGATTGTTTCGACCTACTTTTCAACGGATTTTTCCATTGGAGCGCAGGCCCGGAATCTAGCCCGCATATTCTTTCGTTTGAGATGGGAGCTGAGGTATTCAAAGAGATCAAGTATCCTAATGGCTGGCTAGGAGAACAAGCAGAACCGCGATCGGTGGAGCACAGTCTTGTTGTTTTAGATGATTCCATGGCGTTGATTTTATTTTCAAGAGGCAGATTGTTAGATAGTGAATTGTATGACAAATCAGAACAGTACATTGAGATATGGGCAATGATGGAATACGGTGTTGAGGAGTCTTGGGTAAAGAAGTTTTTCTTGGGACCTTTTTCAGGAATCCAGTGCGTATTATCTTTTTGGAGCAATGACAAACTCCTTGCAGATTGTTGCAAGCAGTTGGTTTCATTTGGTATCCAAAATGATTCCAAGTTGAAGAAATATGATATTAAAGGATTTTACCTACAACTCGTAATTCTAAAGGAAAGTTTGGTTTCTCTCTATTGAATGTAGTGGCACAAATGCCTATGATAGTTATAGTCTATTTTAGGCCTTGATTAGATTACATTTTTTAGTTTTTCTCATCTGTATGTCTCGATGTCCCGGCTTTGCAATAATGCAAGTAGCTCTGGTTCATACGTTCTCTAGCATCATTAATACAGGGTTTTGGTTTTATGCAATTCGTGTCTTCTTTTGTTCCTATGACATTGGAGAAGAAAGTTTACTCGTGTGCTCTTTAACAAGGTGGCACTCATTCTTGAGCATAGATCATTAGATGAAAAGAGAACTGAGGCTTAATTGTTGAACAAGGATTAAACTGCAGTATTCTCAAGTAAATAATAGTACTAGTTTAGTTACAAATTTAACTTATTTTTGCATAACAACCTCAAATTGTTAAAAATTCTTGCTGAAACTTTATCAAAAGTTATAACTATTCAAGTAATTGCTTTTTTGTGTGACAAATGCATTTGATGAATGTGACATGTCCCATGCATGTGGCCTGCCTAACCGTGTAGCATGACTTTGAGAGACTCTATAAATTAGTTTCACATATCTTTACCGAAATCCATCCCTTCCACCTCCAATTGCTCACTTGCAATACGCATTGTTCACATTAACAAAGTGGCCATGCTGGCTGAAATGTTTAAACTCTTAATCCTGATACTTGCACTTTGTCCTTCAGCTATTGATTCTTCTTTTCAATACTTCAATATGGTTGAACAGTGGCCGGGTGGTTATTGCCAGTTCCACAGATGCCGAAGAGTTCCTTGGCCAAATGATTTCACTATCCATGGCCTGTGGCCAGCAAACCACACTGGCACAGTGGAAAATTGCAAAAAAACCGAATTTGCTCCAATACAGGTAACTTTTACTACTTATTGCTCCAATACAGGTCTTGTTTACTCTTAACTTCAAAGGATTATTTCCAGGATGAAAACAAATTTAAACAACTGGACTCAATCTGGCCTAACCTTGACCAACCAAGACCAGAATATGACAGATTAGGAAGTCGTGTCCTAGCCCAATCATTTTGGGGACATGAATGGAAGAAGCATGGGACGTGTTCCGAGAACATGTACAACCAGACTCAGTACTTCGATCTTGCTATTAAACTGAAGAATCGATATAATCTTTTAAGCATTTTAGAACAGGGCGGATTATCCCGGGGCCACAGTCATGAATTAAGTGACGTTAACTCTACGATTTGGCGTACAACTCATGGGACTCCGGATCTAAAATGCCTGAACGACGCTCGAGTTCACCGCAATGTGCCAGTACTGCAAGAGATAGGAATCTGCTACCGACCTAGCAAAAACCGAAGTGGGCAAGTTTCTTTTTCCGTCATTAACTGCCCTCATAGCCGTACCAGGACGTGTTATCGAGGGCTAGGAAACGGCAAGATTGTATTTCCATAATACGCTTGTTCCACTGCATTTTTTTTTTCAACTGATCCTAGTCTGATAAGAGACTGTCAAGAAATGTTGTGGAAAGTTACTTATATATATGCTTGAAGCATGTTTGGTTAAAGTACACTTGATGATTATGTTTCATAGTGGGGAAGATTGGCTCGTATATTTTACTTTTTTAGGTACTTGGGGGGATTTAATTGATAGTTGGATACACTAAGCTAAGCAAGCAGTATATTCTCCATCTTATGGTGAAAAAACAAATTAAAAAACTTTTACTAGTAACTACTGGGATTCGATGATCACTTAGGTCGGGCAAATTTCAAACACAATTTCTAACAGGTTATACACTATGCTTATGAGACTTAAATTGTTGGTGTCCTATGAATTGTCATCAAAATCATAGTTTGAGTCAGCGGTGAAGCCAAGATTTCGACTTCCAGAAGTAAAAAATGAAATTTTTGACAATACAGTCTTTAAATACTTAAGTTTTAAAATTTGGAGAGCAAGGACATAATATCATAAATTTTTTTGTGCAAATATTAATTTTGACATTTCTTTTAGAGCAAAAGAGAGTCATGAAAATAATGTCTACTTTATAAAATATTCTCAAGTTTGGAGGGGCAAGTATCTAATATTGGAATAGTGTTATAATGTGAATATTCATAATAAATATAGGATTAATCTTCTATACACTGATAATGTATACACTTTCACTATTAAATGTATGATATATAATCTAAATTTGAATTTGAAATCCAAACTTTGTATATATATCATACATCCAACCACGATAGTATACATACTGTTAGTGTATATAAAATTTACTCATAAATATAAGATAATTAAAAGTATAAGGAGACATATGAGATTTTGGAAGGTCTTTGGGGACAGCTGACCCTCCCGAGCCCCACCTTGCTTTCACCCTTGATTGAACTTATACGAAGCAAAAAAGTCTTGCCACTAAAAAAATGAAGGGAGAGAGAAGTCACTACAGTCTTTACAACTCTCTTAAGTGATGAAAGTTATAAAAGAGATGGGAACATGCAAGATCAGAATTTTTAATTTCTTCCTTTTTTTTTCGTTTAACCTTTAAGAACCTCAATTTCAATCAAGCTTGTTGGATTGTCATACCAGCAAAAATAAAATTTCTACTTTAAAAATATAAATTCGAATATAGCAGTGAATAAGATCGTATCCTTAAGGACTAGATGATTTATTTTCTTGCAAAGTAACAATGAATAAAAATGACAGATTGGTGAAATATAGCTAAATAACTCAATCAAATAAAGATACTAATGCAAAATTAAATAGAGCTAGATCAATAAAAGACAATTATCTAGTTAGAAGGCTAATCTTCACTTTTGGTTTATCTTAACTTATCATTGATGCAATAATAAAAATGATTTATTAATAAATAGATTGGTTATGATTGTCAATAAACTCTGACAATCTATGTCTCTTTACTGTCTTGATAACGACAATAATCTGTGTGATTATTTTCCTTGCCAATTAATTAAACAACCTTAAACAAGCACTTAGGATTTAATTTATTGACAATGTTAATTATTAGAATGGCTATCAATTCTAACCAAAAACATACAAACTCAGTTTAGGTTAGATTATATACTCCCGTGACATAAATTCGAAAGTTTCTACTACAATCAAATCATACCACTCACCACAAATACTAAAACTACCAAATGATTACGGATTTGGTATTTTAGATCACAATAGACTATTTCAACAATTAAATAGTGATTAATTATTTGATCGCACAAAATAATCATTCTCATGAACGAACAGGAAATATGCAAATACTTATAAATAAATGAAACAATAAAAACAATTAGATCTCATAGTTTTCGATGAACCAAAGTTTCGATTATCCTCTGACTAGAAAAAAAATTTAGCCACTCCTCATGATTGATTCGCAGCCAAAAATATGATTAGGATTTATTATTTTAGAGAAAATGAAGCAAAGGATTAATGGAAAATTTATTTCTAACTAATGACCAAAAAGGAAAAAGGAAGCCGACGAATAGATAGCTCCTGTTGGCTTTCTCATTCCTTAATGTCTATGTGTCTAAGGGCATGTTTGGGGTTGTAGTAACTTATTAAAATGTACTTCACCAATTGAGTATTTGATAAAAGTACTTATTAAGTGGTTAAGTGCTTTTCAGTATATTGTTTGGATACATAATTCAATAAGGGTCCGTTTGGTTGATGGGATGACACATGATTGGATTAGTCATATTGTGTCATCTCATGTTTGATTGCATTTTATAGATAGGATGACACATTCTACCCAACCAAATTAATACTCTATTCATGGGATAAAATAATCCCATGGGGGAGGCAATATTAGTTATCTTAGGATGACTAATAGATAGGATAATACAATTTTAAACTAATTTATCCTTATAAAAAAAATTATACTCTTATAATTATATAACCCTACTCCCACACAATATAATATGAATGGACTAATTTGCCCCTCCTAATTAATTTTAAAGTTTTTGACTAATTTGCCCCTACTACAAGCATAATAATATTTGGACTAATTTGCCCTTATAAATAATTCAAATTCAACTGACTATTATATAACCATACTCTCACACAATAATATGATAATAAATGGACTAATGAGCCCCTACTAATTATATTAAAATTTTTGACTAATTTGTCCCTATTCATTATTTTAAAATTTTGACTAATTTACCCCTATTAATTAATTTAAATATGTTGACTAATTTGCCATACTAATATCATAATAGAAGGACTATATTGCCCTTGAACTATATTACCCTTACTAAGCTTATTGTCTAAACCAAATTCTATATATATACATAACCTTATCAATTGGGCTTTGTAAATGAGAGCTTCAATAAGCTCAAGCTCAGTTTGAAGAAAAATCTTCTATATTAGCTTGAGTTCGGTTCATATAAATCTCTTAAATGGGTTAGGTTTTAATCAATTTAACTTTAATTTAGCCAAAACTCGGCCTATTTTTAATTGAATTTCAAATTTTGGTTCAAAAACTTGGTCAAAATTTATTTTTAAGTGTTTGAATGGGCTAAGTTTAAGTAAATGCAAATTTTTATATATCAAAACCTTTTATTTACTTTATAATTCTAAAGTTTCAAACTACTCTGTTTTAATAAATCTCTAAGGGATAATTTCAAAATCCTCCCTTGACATTTCTAATAATTTCACTTCCCTCTCCTAAAGTTTTGGAAATATCACTTACTTCCCCTATAAGTCATTTGAGTGTGATGACCCCACCTTCTCCTAGGGCGTATCCTAGAAATTAGCGGACCGCATGCTTGGCTCTCGCCAAGGCTAATTTTTTAACATTAACTTTAGAGATAACATTTCACACTAATCATCCAAATATCCATACTTAATACTACATTATCAACTCCAAACAAAAGTTTCAGTCATTACAAGATACAAAACAATTCTTAATAACAATATATACTCTAAGTTGGATCTTTCATAATCTTTATAATGACACTTGTCCATTCTCCAAACTTCAACCCCTATAAGGAAAACAAAGCTACATGATTGAGCTAAAACTCAGTGACGTTCAAAAGTATACGATCAATAACATTACAAAACATTTCTTGAGCATAACTGACCAGGAGAGCAATTCAGTAGAGTAGACATTCATTTAAAAGGATACAACTTCTTCTCACTCCATCATTCTTTCCCCTTATAACCTCTAAAACAATAAACAATCCCCGTCAATCAATTAGCAGTTCAATAATCTCCACTTTTCCCAGTAATACTCGAGTATACCATTCAATTGCTCAAGGTAGCCAACCTAATCGACCAAGTCCTTTACTGGCTCGACTAGATAGCTTGCCAAGGCTTAGGGCCCAATTCGGCCGAAGTGATAAAGTACACTACGGTCTACAATCATTCATGCACAATGCAATGTTCATTCACCATGATATCCATTTCAAATCATTAAGGCAGAAGTGATTATGTACGCTTTAATCCTTTTATCAATAAAATTTCAAAAGTAAGCAATACCATCAAATAATCATGCACAAGCAACTTAAGAACACTCACCCTAATCAAAACAAGTTATTCTTGATCCTCGGAGTTGCTTTCTGGCTCACTGCTGCCCCCTGAAACAAGTTTATGATTCTAAAGTGAATATTCAATTTATATACAGACACTCATCTTGTGAGAACCCGTAAATTTCCCGTATTTTATATTATTTTCTCGCATGCATTTTTCTTCACTATACCCTATTATATTCATTTTTCAGAGATTTTTATGAGTGAATATAGTTTATAAAATCATTTTTCTGGTATAAGTTAGCTTATATTAATTTTGAATTGTATTAAGGACGTGGGACCCGCAAGTGCAGTTAGTGCGATAAAATTTTGACCACTAGTTGAAGTTTTGTACTAAGGGATATTATTTTATAAGGTGTTAGGAGATAATTAGAGGTTAGCTAGATAGATTAACCATTGGGAGAAAGAAGATAAGCTTAAACCCTAAAAGGTGTCAAGTGTCGCGACCTGATTGGAGTTGGACTTTGACCAACTTCCTTCACCTTTACTAAATCAAGAATTTTGACCAAAATTCCTTTCATTTCCCTTCTTGCTTGGTCGGCCATTGAGAGAAAAAAACAAGAGAGAGACTTCACTTTGTTCTTCAATTTCTTGTCCAAATTTGGAGTTTCAACCGATGAAATTGCAAACCCTTCCATAAAAGTGTTATCTAAGGAGGAATAAAGGTCTTGGTGGAGTGATTATTGTAGAAGAAACTCTAAGCTATCATCTTTCCTATGCTTCCAAGGTAAATTTCCTAGAAAATTCCTTTTTGCTCTTAATAATTGCATCATAGTGGTTTAGAGTTGTTAAATATGTAGTTTTGTGAGAATATTTCATAGTTTGAGGTAGAGTTATGTAAAATTCCAGTTTTGTGGTGAAATTTCTGCTCTCATGTGAAGCTTAAGGGTTGGCCATGATTTATTAGCTTTGATGTATGGAAAACCTTATGTTTAGGTGCTAGTTAACTGTGCCAAAAGAAATTTCCAGCTTATGTA